CATTTTTCTATGGAAACAGCATTGTTGTAATTTTTTTTCTCTCCTACAGGCAATGATATATTTCCAGATCCTGATTTAATTATAAAGTTTGGCGATGTTGATAGCTTATTGGGCTTCCTACCATATCAAATTAGACTGAGTGAAATACTGTAAGTAAACTTTTGCAATGCAGACCACCTTAGTTATGAATCAAAAGTCTGTCTACACTGCATTTATTATTTATTTTAAATATGGGTGAATAAAACCAATGAGCAATGCTTGCAGGAAGACTAAGTCTAGGACACGGCATACAAGGCAAATGCGTAACGAATGTCAGCAGAATAATACAGGCAGAATCAAATGTAGGAATATGATGTTGGGAGCTGGTGCCTCTGGTTCTTAGCTCTAAAAATGTGATTATTCCACAATGTGACTGACTCAACCCGGTAGACTGCTAAAACCTCAAAACTGTGAACCTCTTACCTACTGTATCTTTAAGCTGATGCCAAGGCTACTAGAAGCTAGAGTGTGATTGGTTGTATGGTTTGGCCAGAAGTTGTATGGTGTCGTAGTGATCCTCCACGACATCTTGGGTGAAGGGCACTTCAAGTGACTAGTAATAGTTCACCAAACTACTACAGGGAAGTGGTGAACAAAAACTGCCATTTGGACAAGCTTATATATTGTTGTTTTCTCTTTGCAGATGTTCATCATCACACCACAATATGGATTATAAGGTTTTCATTTCATTGCTGTATAGATATGCTGGATGTGCACAGAGATATGGTAAATGAGCTGTCGTCGCTGGTTGATGATAGATGAATATCCTGCAATATGGTGACAAGGCTTAGTTTCCTTAGTTTGCAGATGTTTTGTATATTTTGTTTGTTACCGAGGGGCTTCTCACTTTGTACCATCTGCTGTTTATTGTTTACACATTTTAAACAACTTTGAGAAAATATCTGGTGGCACATGTGTTCAATTATGAGATGTACTTTATGGTTTGTTTTAGTTCATATTTTGTAGCATTGTCATGGTAACCCTGAACTGATGTGTAATTTGTAAGACTGCTCATCCCAGATATTTGCAGAAAAATTGCAGTTCAAAATGAATTAAAACAAGATGGTGAAATCACAATACTTTCTAATTGTGTCTGTAAACATCTGAACAGAAAAAGAAAGAAGATAGTCACTTTTTAGCTCCACTGTCATGGTAGATGGCTGAGCGGAGCTGTTCATACAGGTGATTGTCCATCCGTCCATCAACAATTGCATCTGACCTCTGTCAGATTTGTTCATTTTATGGCAATATTTTCAGATCTCTATTTCTGGCAATTTTTGTTGTTGAAAAAATGCTATTTTCAACTTCTTGAAAACTACCAGCTCAATTGCTTTGATACTTGGTATGTAGGTACCTTGGGTGGACCTCTGTCAGATTTTTTCATTTCATGACGATCTCTTCAATTCTCTATTTTTAGCAAATATATTTGTAAAACCGCAAGTCTGATTGCTTTGATATTATACATATAGGTACCTCAGGTGGACCTCTCTGATTTGTTCAATTCTCTAATTGAAATGTGCATTGCTAACAGCAGAGCTATCTTAGCCGAGCGGCTGCTTGTTGAGACTCTTCAAAGAATTTACAATCAAATAGTCAACAGCAAAGAAATAAACTACACAGGTATCGGCAATGTTACCTTGTTTCTTTATTGCGATTAAGTGCTTACAAAATATAACAAATGTGCGCCATATATTGAAGTAAAAGTGACAGGGATGTGTGGTTCAAGTTGTGCTTAGTGCCCCATGTAAACAATATATGGTCTAATGTGGCACTGGATAACTTGATGTATTGGGATATACATACACTAAAAATGGAATAGAATATTGTATGCAACAAATAGGTTAAGTACCATAACAACTAATTGGTCAATGAATATATAAATGATAATTAACATGACAATACTTCATTTTTTTTTTAAAAACAATTATAACTTTTTAATTGATGCTAAAGTTAACTCAACTGCATGCCAATGTATCTGTCTATCAAAAGCATGATTTTCACTAAGATTTGTTACGTAAGCTAATCCTGCTATCTCATTAAGAATGTTCCAAAGTTTTGTTGGGTAAAAAAAACTTTTAACATAATCAATTCAAATTTGTGATTTGAAACATGGAACTTGAGTAAAATCAATATTAAAATCACCCAAGAGTAATAATCTGTGACACCGTGAAATTTTGATTTCAATATATCAATTTTCAATTTAGATTTGTGCGCTATACACTCAACAATATTAAATTAATCACATATTGTGATATGTTTATAAGGACGTCCGTAAATAAATAATAAATGGTCGTATTATGTACCGCATCTGATGTAATTTTCTATAACGTATTTTGTATTTCTATTCGAGAAATCCGCATTTGAAAATATGGGTAAAATTCAATTTCCGTTGTCGTATTCAATATTGAGAAATGTTTTTTTGCCATAGTCATATTTACTTTATGTGCAATGTATTTTATATAATGAATGGCCACCAGGTGTCACGGATTCAGATGGAGGGGTAATTTAAAATGGAATAAAATCGAAACATTAAATATGGATATTTTTCTTAGTCTAAGTGTAAATTTCAAAGATGAAACATGACGTTTTGCCATAATTCCATCTTGTTTATTTGATACACACAAGAAAAATGAATGGCCGCCAGGTGTCACGGATTAGTAATACACTGTAATATTACTTGAATCGATACATCTATCATTTTAGACAATTAACAGGTTTACAATAGATTATTAAATATTTTTTCACTGAGGCAAATTTCAACAAAATTAGACAATAATTGAAATAATTCCGTAACCTATAATTCGATTACGTTATGATCATGAATACATTTTGACATTTAACCCATATGATAGAAAGGTAATGTTCTAGGAAACAAGTTTTGAATAATATATTTCTGAAAAACAAACAAAAAAAAGTTCTGTACAGCTAGAAAATCTATATATGCGTTAAAATATCAACACAATGATCTAATACTATTTAGGGAATTTTCAAGGCACAAGTTGTACTGACATAAAGAAAACTGACTGAGTACGTCATTTTGGCATTGATAACGACAGTCGAAGAAATTTACAGTATCTTGTAGATTATTTTCTGATCGATTGTGACCACTTTCTTGAATTTTAAATTCAGATCATCAAAAGTACATTGTATGGAGAGGAATGAAAAAAAAGTTGAATTAGTTGCTCGCGCGTTAAATGTCGTACTACTCTGGCAAGAGTTCTCTATAACACATAAATTATAAACCGTTTTCACTATATTGTACTCAAAAGCCCGTAGAATATGTGCCTTGAATAAACTATTATCTTTACAATATAAATGGTGTGTGCATAAACAGGAAATTATTATTAATACCAAGAACTATTGATTCAATGAAACATACTCTGCAATGAAATGAAACCACGAACATTTTGTATGCGAGATAAAAATACATTCAATATGATGCATCAAATGCATCAAATAGTTATTCGTAAAAACTGCTTTTATGAAGTTTCATATTTTGTGTCCACTATTTATGTCGTGTTTATAGTATGATCTATATCTGACTGTTGATAATCTGTTGTCAATGTACGTCTCGCGAAAATAATGAAATTCTTGCTGCAATTAGTTGCAACACAAACTAAGTTAAGGTAAAGTGGTAGTCTAAGCCTTAACTTATTCAGGGCAGAGCTATGTCACAGAACGTTTTATATTTGGACGTGTACCACATATTTCTATGGACTTTGTGTTCGACCGTTATTTTCATTGTGGTGGTTGCCATGTGATGAAAATGCCCAGATGTTCGCTCCAGAGAATAGCAAGCAATTGTCTGGTGGATCACACTGCAATAATAACATACTGCATTTAGCACGATGAGAAGTATGACATTTTTGTAAAATTGACTACTGTTATAGTTGATGATATTCAGAGTATGAAACTGTAATTTACACGTGCATGGTGAACCTCACATGCTCTTAAATGACTTGTATCCACCGATATATCATTCTTCAGCATGTATTGACAGGACAGTTCAAGGTCAGTATGTCTATGTCATCGTCTTTCATGATGGTGTTACTGTCTATTTTCTGGAAAATGTTAAAAACAAGATATATTTTAATGTAATGTAGAAGATAATTATATAATATTGTGAGTATATACATTGTGACAGTTATTTAAATATTACAAATATTATATATAACGATTACGTGCACATATATTCAATATATATACAGCTGTGTCCAATCAAAGCAATTAAGATGCATCCACAGTCAGTACACATACCTGCTCCTCATTGATGATTACCATTTGTTTGGTATTGTCACTTTGGCCTGAAGAAGATGGACTGATGAGACTGCTGGAGGTGTTATTCATGCTCGTTAAAATACCCTGTTAGAAAAGTTAATTAGAGGTGGAGGTAATTACAATACAAAAGCTGTATCGTGATTGTCATGTATATTGTGTCTTTTTGTTTGATAATACCCCAAATCAAAACATTACAACAATTGATATGCTAATGTGTAAATTGGTCCCCATAAAATGCACTTTACCACACAAATACAAATGTGTGATATAATACTGGATTCCAAAACTTGTTTTCAAATGTTGCTAGGTTTGGACAGGATGTACATTGTGAACATCAAATGTACACCAAGTAGATGTATAAACTCTATTTGTCATGATTAAATATAATAATACTCAAACATCAAAATATTGTATACTGAGAGATGATTACGTACCATGGTGCTAATAATAGTTTCTCCCTTCTTGGCTGCTTGGATGTTCTTTTTATGCTGTATGGCGCTACGTACCTGAACGAGTAAATGTGTTAAATATAATACTACAATAGAATTATATGAAAACATTAGCATTGGTTGTGTATGGACGGATTTCAAACTTGATAACATATTGAATATCATTGCCACTTTGATTGCTCGTTATTGATGGTTTGATGGTTCAATACAAAACGTTCGGTTTTATCATTTTATTTTATTTCTAAAACAACATCTTTTTACGTGCCTACGCTGACTACCCATACATATTATATAGACACAGATTGGTGCAAATTACCTTTCATACACACACTTTTCAGTTTTGTTACGGCTTCCTGGTGGTGATTTTGCCATGTCAACAACTTGTACACCTTGCAATTTTGTAAGAAAACTGACAGAATGAACGGATTACCCTGTGCATAGTGTGATCAATGAGGTAAGTTTTGGAACACTTTGAGAATCTTCTTAATAACATTTAGCTACATCTCGTATCCATTGTTACAGTGGCATAGTTAATGGCTGCATTATTTTATGAATTGACAAGTAAGATCAATGATGATCCTTGACATCGAATAGTTGTCACCTAGCAACTTCAAATGTAACAACGTAACAATGGAACCATATGGTATCCCCCCCCCCCCCCCCGGTAATAGCATTTTTGCTTTAAAATACTAATCCAATGTTAGCAAGATAACTAAAATTCACTGCATTTTTATCAATGACTTATACTCGATTACCTTCACATGGTGCATAATCTAATTGCTCATCTTTTAAACTAAGTGAATATGATATGTTGACTCTTTGAATGATCAAGGATCACACTGTGAACTATTCATTCAATATTATTAACCGTCAGCCCTGTCCTACTTTTCAAATTGTCATTGTCCTCCAGGGGACAAATTGTAGTGTGAATCATATTTAGTGTTGTGCATTGGATATTTCATGTATGTTATATTTATGTGAGATGAATCAACATGATTTGAATCGTGTAGACCTGTGATCGTTTTTATGCCGTTAGTAGTATGTGGTATGCGGTATGCTAATAGACAATTTATCATTCATACCAAATGTATGTAAACAAAATGATTTATTATGGGAAATCCTAATTTAAAATATTACCATGAACAAGTAATCATGTTTATTTCCCCAATGGTGCGATCATGAGGTAATCATATCACTGTTGATGTATACAAACTTTACAAGAGCAAAATACCCTATAATGAGTTGTCATCGTTGTTCCTCACACAACTTGTCAATGGTGTCATTGATAATCACAAAGAACTCCTGGTTGTGAGGCATTGAACCTGGTTTCCGTTCATCACCCCGGGAAAA